TCAAAATTAGGGTTGGGATGTGTTCTGATGCAGAGAGGAAAGGTAATTTCTTATGCATCAAGACAATTGAAAGATCATGAGAAGCAGTATCCAACCCATGACATGGAATTAGCTGCAGTGGTATTTGCTCTGAAAATCTGGAGACACTATCTTCTGGGAACGAAATGTCAGATTTATACTGACCATAAAAGTTTACAACATTTGTTCAGCCAGAAGGAATTAATATGCAACAACGTCAGTGGATTGAATTGGTTAATGACTATGATTGTAAAATCCTCTACCACCTGGAAAAAGCTAACGTGGTGGCTGACGCTTTAAGTCAAAAAGAAAAGAGTGGAACCATTAAAGCTGTGGCAATGAGAATGAACTTGATCCCTGACATTCGTAAAAAAATTCAGAGATGCCAACAAGAAGCTATGAAAGAAGAATTTGTTAAAGAAGAAAGGTTGGGTAAAATGATTTCACCCTTGGAACAGAATGATGAAAGACTAATGTGTTTTCAAGGGCGAATTTGGATACCATGTTTTGGAGATATCCGAAACATTATATTAAATGAAAGTCATAAGTTCCGATACTCTATTCATTCAGGCACCAATAAGATGTATAGAGATTTGATACCTTTTTATTGGTGGCCAGGGTTGAAAAGGATATAGCTCGATATGTTAAACAATGTCTAACATGTTTACAGGTTAAGATTGAACATCAAAAACCGTATGGAAGTCTTCAATCCTTAGAGATACCTGTATGGAAATGGGATCACATTACCATGGATTTTGTTATGAAGTTACCTCGAACTCCAAAGGGGTATGACGCGATTTGGGTAATTGTTGATCGTTTGTCTAAATCTGCGCATTTTCTACCAATAAAAGAGAAATACTCTTTAGAAAAGTTAGCACAAATTTACATCAAAGAAATTATTACCAGACATGGTGTTCCCTTGTCTATTATCTCTGATAGAGATAATCGGTTTACTTCAAAGTTCTGGGAAGGATTACAGAAAGCTTTGGGGTCTAAAATCCGATTAAGTACAGCTTATCATCCGCAAACTGATGGGCTGAGTGAAAGAACTATTCAGACTCTTGAAGATATGTTAAGAAGTTGTATTATTGACTTCGGGAGATCGTGAGAAGATTACTTGCCATTGATAGAGTTTGCATATAACAATAGTTATCATTCCAGCATCCAAGCGGCAYCGTATGAAGTGTTGTATGGACGTAAATGTCGAACGCCGTTGTGTTGGAATGAGGTTGGTGAAAAATAACTGACGGGTCCTGAAATTTTCCAAGAAACTTTTGAAAAGATCGAACAGATCCATGAAAGAATCAAAACAGCACAAGATCGTCAGAAAAGTTATGCTGATAATCGTCGAAAGCCGATTGAGTTTGGTATAGGTGATTTTGTGATGTTAAAAGTTTCGCCATGGAAGGGTGTCATTAGGTTTGAAAAGAAAGGGAAACTCAGTCCGAGGTATGTATGGCCATTCAGAATATGCAAGCAAATTGGGCCAGTAGCATATCCGTTGGAGCTGCTAGAAGAACTGAGTTTGATTCACAATACTTTCCATGTGTCGAACCTACGGAAATGTTTGGCGGATCCAAGTTTAGATGTGCCGTTGCCAGAGATTCAATTAGACAGTAAATTGAATTTTGTGGAAACACCAAAAGCAGTAGTTGACCAAAAGATCAGAATGTTGAGAAACAAAGAAATAAGTCTGGTTAAAATTCAGTGGAAGTTTCACAAAGGACCAGAAGCAACATAAGAACTAGAGTCAAAGATGAGATCAGAATACCCATGGCTTTTTTATTAAAGAAATTCCGGGAAGGAATTCTTTTGAGGGGTGGATAATGTGATAATTGGATTCTGGTTATCACCTAAGGTAATTAATATGTGATTATATGATTAAATGATTACGTGATAGCATGATAAATTGATACATTTGATCATGCTGGTATGTGAAAATTATGTGCATAATGTGATAATGTGTATGAGAATATGTACATATGTGGAAGTATATATATATATATATAKATATAKATATATACATGGTATATGTGCTTGAAATGGGTGTGTATATATTTATATAATCATATGTGCATGGTGTATGTATGCATGCATGTGGGTATGTGAGTTAGCCGCCTTTCCTGTTTTGAAAAGTATAAAAAGGGAGTTGAGCCTCCATATTTTCTCTTCTTGCTTTTGTTAAAGTTGTGTGATTTAAAAGAGAAGAGATGTTGACCGGATTATTTCTTGTCTGGAGGTTCAAGTTGATTTCAAGTATTTGATTTCAAAAGCTTATTAAGGTGAGTAATTTCTAAACTTTGCATAAAACTTTTACTGGTTTTATATGAATCTTGTTTATTATTGGAATGAAATCAAAGAATTTTGCTTAAGGGTTTTAAATCGGTCAAAGGTTGGACGACGTATTGTCCGGATTGTTTTAAATCGGTTAAGTGTTAAGCGGGTTATGATTGGTAAGAATAGCTATCATTTTGAACTGAGAAGTAGGAATACGACCATGTGGTGACCGGATTGTTTTAAATCGGTCAAGCTTTGGGCGATGTATTGTCCGGACTTGTTATCCGGACAAAGGTGTTGGAATTTGTTCTAAGTGTTAGATCGGACAAGTCTTGAGCGATAAGTTGTCCGGATGATTTGGTAAACCGGCTAAGACTTGACCGGAGATGAAGTCCGGCCAAGTCTAGGTTGACCGGATTTGAGTTATACCTTGTGTTTAAATGATAGAAATTGTTATTTTATCATAAAATGAAGTTTTGATATAAATGAGTTTGAATTGATAATAATTTAATGGTTGCGGTCTATTTGGAATTATTTTTGTGAAATATTTTTGATGAGGAAATAAGGGTGGCATATCAAGGAGAGGTGTACCATGGGATAAAGGTGGCATATCAAGGAGAGGTGTACATTTGGATATAAGGGTGACTTTTGTATGTGTGTTGTATGATATAACTCTTTCTATTATATCCTTTAAGATTACCGTGGTCTGAAATCTTTATTTCTTTATGATTTAACGATTTAGGATCAAGGTTCTTATTGGAAATCATAGTCTGGATGTTATTGAGAAGAAAACATCAGGTTTGGCCTGAAACTTTATTTAAACATTTTTTGATTAGAAAATGTTTAAAAGTGGTATTATGTGGAACCTGATTGATTCAGAGATATGAGATTTGAATAGCTGAATGCTTTGCTTGAAAAGTGGAAAGAATTTGGTAGTGTGTTCCTAATTGTTCATATATTTGTTATATATATGAAATGTTGTTTTCCATAAAAGATTTTGGTGATTTTCACCATGCAATAACATAAATAGGGTATCTCACTAGACCTTTTGGTCTAACCCTTGTTTTGTGATTTTAACTATGTATTGCAGGAGGTTCGGACGGTAAGGGAAAGTGGAAAATGTAATATTTTCCTATATGCATTTATACATGAAGATCTGTCTTGATGTATAGTTTTGATTGAATAGTACAAGAAATGTATTTGAATTTTTAGACCTTGTATTTGGTTATAATAGATTCTTGTAATAAGGGACTTGAAATGGGATAATGTCATGTATTTCTTTTGTATGAAATATGTGTTATATGCAATGTGTGGTTTGGGACGTTTCAATTACACCATCACATACCCTCTTTATAAACATATATTTTCAATCTATTCTTGATCTTCATATAACTCCTTTATATATATGTTTTGTAAATGTGAACATGTATGTATATACATACATATATATATGTATATACATACATATATATATATATATATATATATATATATAGGGGTGGGTTCAAATAAAAACCATTCAATTTGTAAAAACCGTGAAAACCTCATTCAATCAATCATGAATTGGAGTGATTTTCATTTGATCGTTCCTATATATATATATATATATATATATATATATTTATCATGAATCTTGAATTAAATATAATAAAATTCTCTTTTTCTATAATTTACTTAAATAAAATATTGATTATATTTTTGATAATTTAATTTAAAAGGAAATAAATAATCTAATTTTTATTTAAAAAAGAAAGCGAGTATAAATTTGAAAAATGAGTAGATTGTTGATTTGGGGGCTTACATCAATAATTTAATTATACAGAAGTTTCAAGATGTCACTTTCAACTATCTTAGGTTCCTTAAATTAGTTATAATTTTATGGTTTAGTTTGTTTTGTTGTAGATTTAACGGAATGGTTTGGTTTGGTTTGGTTATTATAGGATCAAAACAAGCGTAATGGTTTTCAGGAATTTAAATTTTATGAAAAGATTTGGAATCTTTAGTGTATTTCGTTTATAAGACTTGGAATGAGTTTGAATTCAGTTATTTATAAAAACAAATTATAAATTATAAATAATTATAAATATAAATATAATTAAATTATCTTTTTATCAATTAATTATTTCAAAACAAATGTTATTAACAAATTTTAAAACCTTCCTACATACAAATCCTTTGAGATCTCATAAAATATCAATATCACTCTGAGATTTCAAAATCCTATGGTTATAAAATTCCAATAAAATCTCAGGATTTCAAATTTAGGAAATGATCGAAATCTAATTCCAACTTCAATTGATCCTTCAAATCAAACGGACCTAAAGATTCCAAATCCTTACAATTCCAAAAGTTTTTCTGTGAAACTGAAGTCCTCAAAAACGATACTTGCCTTACCCCTGGTTTTATGTGCACTTTGATTATGGAGGCCGTTTATCGCGCTTTTTGGGTAAGCGCTTACTGGGTGTCGCTTACCTTACCAAGTGAGCATGAATCTTATCCCGTAAGATGCATAACAAGGACCAAAAATCTTACCCCGTTAGGTAAAAGACTCTTAACCGTTAAGTGCTTACCAGGTAAAAGGCAATTACTAACGATCCATTTTGATGCCCGAAAATGTTATCTAATAAGGTGAGGGTAGTGACTCTCGGAATCTTCTAATCGTACTTTTGCCTAAATCACGATAAAATTGTAAGCATTTCGGTTTTGTAACACGATCAAGTCGATTAGCAGGAGGATAACAACAATTATCAAGAACCAAACCAACCATCTCAAACAATCAGTGAAGACCGAACAGTGAACACAATCAATCATCAATGATTCCTAGGAATCTTAAATTTGTGATAATATATAACATACTTTTGAACATGGTCAGTACGAGGAAGCTTCAACTCCATTGGTGGTCACTGATGATCCGTTTGGAGGGTCATCGGCACGCAGTTGAGCAGAAACATCGTCTATTGCAGAGTTCAGCTGAGCAATCTTATCCGTCAGTATCTTGCGTGTTTTCTGTTGTCAATAAAACCATTCAACTCGGTAAGTTTCAGACTCTACACATAATGGTAAACGTTTTTTTGGTAACTATGAGTGTCCGGGCCAGCTTGTGCGCACCTTGACTAATCCCATAGGGCCCTAAAATAAAAGTCAAGAAAATCTCCGGTGGTTTGAGACTTGAATCGGCGACCTACGAGAAAGATCCCGAAAGCCAGACCTTTATTTGCCAGTTGAGTTGAGCTGGCCCTTGGGATTAATAAACAAATTGAGCAAGCACTTGCAGGTAAATGTGTTGTAGACTTCCAATTGGTTGTGACTTCCTCGTGATTATCTAGAAATCATGAGTGCAAATTCTACCCCTTGCATGTCTGATAAACCTTGAGGGTCAGCCCAACTGACAAATAAATGACAGGCCTAGGTACTCCTCTCCAAAGCTCGCCAATTAGAGCCTTTTTAGGGGCGCCAGGGATTTTCATGACTGTTATCTTTAGGGCCCTATGGGATAAGTATAGGTGCACGCAAGCTGGCCAGACACCTATGGTTACCAAAAAAATATTCCAACCTTGACATGTCCAATGAATTATGCACATATTTTGATAGACAGGAAACTAAGTTATGTCCCCTCAGCCATCATGCGTAGTTTCACACGCAGAAACAAGATTGGTGTATTTGCTGGCAGGTCAATGTATGCAACCATGGCCCTTTATCAATGCGATTGTAAGGAAAATAAAATATAATAAAAATATAAATAGTAATAATAATAATTTTCAAATAATACACTAGAAACTAGCTTGCCTTATATCAGGGAAGACTAGTATTCGAAATGAAAGAGCAAGTTCTCACCTCCAAGGCTTTTTCTTCATCATATATAAATTTTGGCAGCTTCCTCATTAAATCTTTTCGGTCTGCCCCTGCAAGTGCCTTGCTAATCTGCATGGTGAAATTATCGGCAAATGTGTGTATATATCATCGCTCAATGTGCAAATTTAAATGCACGAAATCCTCACAATCTAACAAACAAACACCTTCAGATGCCATTGCACAAAAACACTACTCCCTCTATCTGAAAAAAGGGTAACACCAACTATTTTTTGTTTTTCTAAAAAACTTCTAACATTCCCTTTTTAGTAAGTTCTCTACACTTTGTTGCACACTAGTCATTACTTCAATCAGACAATGGTTTTTAATTAACTATATGTCAAGTCAAACATTTTGGGACGGAGGGAGTACTTTTGTTGTAGCTATCTGATAATTTATATATACTTTTCCCTGAATGTGAATGATGGACCAGAAGTAACAACTGCATGAGCTTAAACTTGCTGCTTCAGAACTTTTTGATAAATCATACAGCTACAAATAGAGTTCTTTTTCTTTCTACTATTTTGGCTGCTATTTTGGTAACAGTGTTATCTGAATTTTGATAGACTAAGACCACAAGATAGGTCCACCAATAATATATTCAAACCAGATAAAGTCATCCCGTGTGGGAAATTTTCATGACCAACAACAAGAGGTGATAGCACTAAGAGACTAAAGAGAATTATATAACCAACATAATTAAAGATCACTGGAAGAATGACATAAGAATACCTGGGGTGCATATATGGCGCCTAATGTTCCAACAACAATTCCTCCCAATACAAAGCCACCAACAAATAAGCTGGCTCCACCTAGTCTATCATCATTTGTTCTGCAGATGCATAGGGGGCAATTAACTGTCACAAAAAAGTTAAGCATCCAAATGCGACAAGAAGTTGCAAAGCTGAAAAGAACATGCAGTTAGAGATGAGGCGGATGCACGAGGCATCATGTATCAGATATAAAGATGGTTCCATCATTAGAAGGGAAATATTCATCATAGAAACAATGGTTCTGGATTTTATAGAGCTTAGCTAAGATCAATCCATTAAATAAATGAGAGCTTTGATCTTTTAATCAAATAAATGTGTGCCTGATAGCAAGACATTTATGTCAACGGATATTTCAGCAATACTTGTTAACAACCCCATCTTACCTGCATACTAACTAGAAAATTGGTGGAGGACCACACTGCATGTGATCTTATTATCTTATATAAACAAATGAACAAATAAGTCTGTATAAAGATCAATAACGTACCCAGCTCGCACAATAAGTGATTTCCTGTGCTTCTTTAGTTTAGTTGTTCCACTGTGGCCAATACACAGATTAGTGGAGCCAAGGCATTGGTCTGCTTGCATCAATGAACCTACCATCAGTTAACTTGTAACATGTTGGAAAAAGATCTGAACACATGTAACCTGTGCGTTGGGGGAAGGAGGGAGGAGGGAAGGGGAATGATGGAACATATTGTAAACACAAGTTGAGAAGGCAATCACATAGTTTAACAAAAAGCATATATAGAAATGCATGCTAAAAGCTTAAAGGTATGATGTTTCAATTAATGGAAGATAATACTCACTACTTAGGAAAAAGATACCAATTGAAGGTCATACTCTGGCAGCTAGATTTGAAACAAAAAATGGGCAATATTAAAAAGGCTATAAACAATTCCACATAAAGTACATTGACATTCTAAAAAATCTACACCACTGAACTTTAATGACAGGATCCACTGATGAAAATGCATGCTGAAGAGAATTGAGATGATTTGATACAAGATTTCATGAAGAATCTGGAGTTTTGCAAGGACCAGACTAAGATTGAATCCAAATGGAAGTCAAAATACATTGACTCAAAAAATATACAGTTGCATCCATTCTAAAAAAAGGAGTTCCAAAATCTGAATGTGAAAAAGCAAAGGGTGAGTCAAATGTTTGCAAGGCACATTAACCATGATTTTACACTTAATAATCCCTATCAGTGGGACGAAGTGTAAGTATCTTCTCGCCATAGATGTTTGCATATGTTCTTTGCTGCCTTCCTTATCCAATCCTTGCTTGTGCTTGTTAAGCAAGCCATATAATTCAAAAATATGATCATCGATTTGCAGCTTGGAGCATAAATAAATCAATACTTGCTCAGAACTTCACCAGCCACAGGAGGAATCTGTAGGTTTCCCATCCCTGTTGATATGCGAACAATGGCAACAGCATCAAAAGGAACTAGTACATGGGGTTGACATTTTTCTAGCTAAATTAAAATTGGTGCATCAAGGACACCAGAGTTTTTGAGTGAAAATGAGAGAATATGTCTAAACATAGTTCCTGTCTGCTAATATTTTCAAACTATGATCTTATGATATAGCATATCCACAATAACATTTGCATTCTTCCTTTCCTATAGTCTATTTTTTTACATGTTGTTAGAGTCCCACTTTAGCTAGACTTGGACCATTTCTCCTTTATATATGTTGAAACCTCCTTCTCTCCCCAAGGGCTCTTTCATAAGTAATCTGGGGATATCACATATTCTCACTGATGTTTTATAGTTTCATTCTGCACTGACATGAACCAAACCGACTAGATACCTGATGCCAACATGAAAATATATATGTAAGATCCATAAAGCCTAACTCCCAAGGGAATTGTGGATATGTTGTCTAATTATAACTTAAAGTTCATAGATATGCCATTAAACGAAGGTTTAACTACAAATTGATACGAAATATTGAAATTCATTACTTAATTAAGAAATGATAATCAAGCCTCATTTCACTCATTGTTCGGAATTCCAATTCCCCGGCTTGAAATTAGAACTAGAATGAAACTCATCAAGGAAGTTTTGAGAGAAATCCGCTTCAATTTCCAATTCCAATTCCAACCCTCCAAATCCATTCCCCCAAAATACAGTCTAAATCAGTTGATTTAAGCAACATAATCAGTCAACTTCATCATAATTGCAAGTAACACAGTGTATCACAAGTTTAAGTGAAGATGCTTGTAAGAGAGATGTAAAACAAGCTACAATTTCGATATAAACAACAAATCGAACGCTGTATTCAAAGTTTCGCACCACAATTGAACTCAAACGAAAATTATGATCAAATTTCGCAACGTCAAACTAAATTTACATTAGAGGAAACTTCAATTATGCAATAGATATACCAGAAAACAACTGATTCCGTTGGTTCGGTACTGAAACGAAAGAATTAGCGAGAGTAGTCATCCTTCAGACAACAATTCGACTGTACAGAGAGAGAGAGAGAGATCGAGAAAATATTCGATTCTTTTCCATTTTCATCGATGTTTTCAATACCACAAAAACTTGGGCCACGTACGTAATTATTAAGATTGGAAGGAAATATTTGGCCCAAATTCCATGGGCCTCGTTTTTAACTAAATGCTTACAGGTATTTTTATAGTTAACAAGTGATTTTACTTTATTAATATTAATTATTTAAAATTATTATTAATTATATCAATTATTTTTATATTTTTTTAATTATTATTCAATATATTCAGTTATCAAAAAGTAAAAATAATAATTTTAAAAATGTTTATGTAAGTTGCATAAAAAACAAGGTTATACTTATTATATTTTACTAGAAGAGTACTCGCGTAATGCAGCGAGATACATCGTGTTTTTAATATTTCATTTTATTCTTTATTTCAGTCGATGTTATAATATGACTTTATGTGATTTTGAGAAAGCGATGATGTTTTTATTTTTGAATAAAATATATGTTTGACGATATCATAAAAATTTGACAAAAATATATCGATATTAG